ACTCCAGTCTGTGTGACAGAGTGAGACTCCAACTCAAAAAAAAAAAAAAAAAATTAGGCGCTGCCTAGGTCAGTTTCAGGTTTTGTGCTCCCAGGCACAGGCTAAGTTCTCAGCCCTGCCCTAGCTGAGTCTCCCTGTCGCCTTGCCTGCCTTCCTGTGCCTCTGAGCCTCCCCCAACCATACACATGCTGTTCCTCAGCTGGAAATCCTTTTCCTTATGGCCAGCTCTGAGCAGCCTTCAGAACTAGCTCCAATGCCCCTTCCGTTGTTGCCCCATTCACTATGTCCCACTATGGGCCCCCTCTGCTCTTGGCTGCCCTATGGGTGGCCCTGCTTTGTAAAGTACTACTGGGTGCAAATTTGCAGATGCCTGGTGCATAGGTGGTCACACGATGGGCTTTGAAGGTGAGGTCTGTGGTTAACCTGTCCAGAGGGGGAGAGACTACCCCCTTGCCTCACTCCATGCTCCATCCTGGAGATGCAGGGGTTGAAGGTGGGGACATGCTGGGGAAGATTTCTCACTAGCATAGGGGTGGGACAGCATAGACCAGACCTGCATTTAACAAGGGAAGAAACAGGGTCTAACAAAAGGTCAGTTCCCACTGAGGCTGTTCTCACTGAGGCTGTCTTCAGGAAAGAGCTCAATGCCTGCCACCTGCTTCTTGACACTGGCTCACTCTCCCTGGTCTCTGTCATGCCCAGCTACTTTGCTTCCCCATTCAAGGCTTGTGACTTCAGCTGGCAAGAGGGCTGTTGAGACTCGTGCCTTGTGGCTGCCGGGAGATACTGCAGCGGGGGGAGATGGTGCAGAGGTAGGGTGTGTGGGCTGGAGAAAGGGGTAGATCAAGATCATACTGACTTGCTCTGTGGCCTTGGGCAAGTCACAGCCTCCCTGAGCCTCAGCGTCTTTCAAAGACACAGAGACCTGGATTGCTACAGACTTTGGTAGCCAAGAGTTTGATGCAGAATTGACCTGTCATCTGTGCGTTTACATGTGTCCTTTACTTATCCTTGTTTCTTGCATCCTCAACAGCTCCATGAGGAGGTAGAACTTTCATTTCCATTTTCCAGATGAAGAAACAGCTTCACAGAAGGGAAGGCCCCACTGTCTACCACCAGATAAAACTCAGTACATTAGCCTCCAAAGCAGAATAGGCATCTAAGTAAGGCAGAAACCTTGAACAAGATTTAGATGGAAACTGAGGCCCAGAGAGGGCAAGGGACTTTGAGGCCACACCTGACATAGAGGCCAAACTGGGTATGTTCCTGTCCTGGCATCTCCAACCATCATAAGGAGATGGTGCTCCCACAGATCTCAGAGATGATGGTGGAGTTCTTTGCCCACCTGGTCTATGCACCACCATCTGGAAGTTCAGAGCTCCCCTCATAGCTGCCTTCTGCCATGGAGTCAGCTCTATGTTTAAGAGGTGAGCGTGGCCTAGCACACCTTAGCCTGCCTAGAGCCCTGTCTCATGGAGGTCTGCAGGAAAAGGAAGGAGAGGTTGGGCAGAGGAGCTACCCCTCCAACAATAGGGCACCAGACACTGTTCTCACGGGCCCCCATTGGTGTGAGCCTGGGACAGGGCTGAGCCTGCTTGCCTGGGAGTCTGCATTTGGTTTTTGCCGGTCCTTTCTCTCCTATCCTGTCACCTGCATGGGCTGCCCTGGGGGGCTTGTTATGGGCCTTCCATGTTTTTTTTCTGGGCTCCCTCACATGCCGGGTTGGTAGTATTCCCCTCTTGCTTCTCTGCCAGCACAGAACCCCCTATGCCCTCCCTCTTTCTTGGTCACTGGCTCTCTGTCTGAGGCTGGACGTCTAGATTTCATTGTGATGCTTTGGCCTGGTTCTTCCCTTCCTGCAGGTGGGAGACATTGACTGGCCTGAGTCAGTATCCCAAGGGGAGGTTCTCTGGCCTAGGGGATCCTCTGCCACCAACTCTGGGCTAGGCTATAGAGAAAGCAAGAAGTGAGGCAGGGCCATGTGGCAGGTTGTGAGGGGCACTGGGCTAGGGCTACCTGCTCCACCTGCTCCTAGCTTTGCCTGCCTCCCCTTTTGCTGTGTGGCCTTGTGCAAACCCTTCAGTGTCTCTGGGCTCCATGTCTTCCCCATCTGGTTTTCTTTTTCTTTTTTTTTTTTTTTTTTTGAGTCAGGATCTCACTCTGTCACCTATGCTAGCGTGCAGTGGCATGATCACAGCTCACCACAGCCTTGACCTCCTGGGCTGAGATTGTGATCCACCCTCCTCAGCCTCCCAAGTAGCTGGGACTACAAGTGTGTACCACTGTGCCCAACTACTTTAAAATTTTTTTGTAGAGACAAGATCTTGCTATGTTACCCAGGCTGGTCTTGAACTCCTGGGCTCAAGCAATCCTCCTGCCTCAACCTTCTGAAGTGTTGGAATTACAGGTATGAACCACCATGCGTAGCTCCCATCTGGTTTTCATTTCAGCCCAGCACAGGGTTGTGCTGGATGAGCCAGACCTCGCCAACATAGCACCATTTTCCTGGGCTCTGAGTACCACATGGAATTTGCCATGGCTGGCAGTTCGCATCAGCTTTTACAGCTGTATGTGGATGACTGTGTGACCAGCCCTGGCTGGGATCTGGAAGTGGCCCCTGTGCACTACAGCATTGTCAAGACTCAGGGTACTGGGCCTGGGGAGGTTGGGGCAGGGGCTGAGAGCCTTTGCAGGGTTAGAAGGGGCAGATGCCCAAGATGGTGCCCTCAGGGAGTTCTTAAGTAATCCTCTCTAGGCCAGGGAGTAAGAACCCTGTACTGGCCCCTTCACTTCTGTAGCCTCTATTTGCCCCTCTGTGAAATGGGGATAGTGCCAAAGTCTTCATAGCACTGTTATGTAGAAGGAATGGGACAATGCTTAGCTCAGTGCAGAATTCTCTGAACCTTGCTAACTTCCTGACCTGGGCCTTCCAGGTCCAGGCAAGGATGCTTGTTCCACCTCTTGCCCCGAGAAGTCCCCAAGAGACTCAAGCTTTCCTTCCAGTCCTTCAGCTTTACTGATAGTCCTGATTATGCGAGTGAAAGCAGGTGCCTTCGGCTCTGGGCACCCTCCTCAACATCCAAAGATTCCTCAGGCTGAGTCTCTGTCCCTATAGATATGTGTCCTCTGCAAACTGTTGCTGTGGAATCCAAAGGCCATATCTGAAGGCCTGTTCATTCTACAGGGACACAAACAAGGGAGTCACATTCACTGAAGGTGTACTGCATGCCCTACCCTGACATTTGATATACTTGACCTCACTTCATTGCATAGGAGGTGAGGAAACTGAGGTTCAAAATGGCTCAGATGAATGTTCCACAATAGGTTAGCCAGCCTGAGTGCCTTGGCCTAGAGTAGGCAGTGTGGGTATGTTGGAAATGGAGAGTTTGGACTCTGACCTAGATCCATGTTTGAATCTTAGCTCCATCTCTTGTTGGCTGTAACATCACTGGCAAGTCACTGACCTTTGGTTAGACTCTGTTTCTTCCCTTGTTTCTTTTTTTGTTTTTTTTTTTGAGTTGGAGTCTCACTCTGTCGCCCAGACTGGAGTGCAATGGCCGCTCCCGACCACCGCAGTCTCGACCTGCTGGACTCCGGCGATCCTTCCGCCTCAGCCTTCCAAGTAACTGGAACTACAGGCACTTGCTACCATGCCCGGTTAATTTTTGATTTATTGTAAAGATGAGGTCTCACCAAGTTGCCCAGGTGGGTCACGAACCTGCGGGCTCAGGCAATCCACTCACCTCAGCCTCCCAAAGGCGCGGGATTACAGGCTGAGCCACCGACCCCGGCCTGTTTCTTCCCTTGTTAAATGCAGATCTGGTCCATGCTGTCCCCATTCCCATCCTGGTACACTGACCACTCCAGCCTTCCTCTAGGTGGTCAATGCTTGGCCTCCC